AGGCTGCCTTTCGGCCAATGTGTCATCAGGGACCAATCGTTGGCAACTTTTAACTCATTTGAATTGATAAGAAATAGTAATATATATATATATATATATATATATATATATATATAAATATATTATTATAATAAAATTATAATAAAAGAGACTGTTTATATATTTCACATTGAGTACTGCACTGTTCTTAGAGCGTTATTATTTTTTATGCCACACCCCGAAGTATTTGTAAAACCAACACACAGCCTGTCAAGGAAAATAAACAATTCGTAAAAGAAACCAACTGACAAGAAAACAAATCAGATAGCCACCTAACTAAATAGCAAAAGACACTGTTTTGTCGAAAATGAGCATGGCACAGAAATTTTTTACTCGAAATCTTTTATTTTTCAAATTGTTAATTTGTTTTTCTGCTTAATGAAATTGATATTTCTATTAACATTAAGTAATTGCATTTTCTTTTTAAATTAAATATTTCCCAATTGCCACCAACCTCAGTATTGCGAGGGGTTACCGGAAAATTCTGAGCCATACTAAGAAGCCCCCATCCCGCACCACCCCTCGAAAATCTGACCAAATAATTTAAATTTGGCCAAATTTAGGAAAATTGGTTTGCCCAAGGACTTCTCAACACACCATGATTCAGTATAAATGGAAAAACGTTTTTTCTTTCTTTCCCCGAAGAGACGTGCTGTTGATTGTGTAAGAGCAGTATTCGGTATGGTGAGATATTTTAGAAATTAGAATGTTGGATGACAGACTTTAATGCCCAAATCACCCACATACAACATTTTGGACGCGCGACATATTTTTCTCTTAAATAGTTGAGCAACACTATCAATGAGAATTACGACAGTTTGCTCTTATTATTTATCTACTTATCTATCAGTGATTTTGCTTGACCCACATAAGAGGGACTTTCTACTGTTGGTATAGTTGTACTTCCAGATCTTTAATAGACACTAGTCCATGAACCGTCTGCTCTAACCGCACTAACCTTGTGCTGTACTATGTAAAACTTAAGTAAGAAAAAAAAGAAGACACTGAATTAATTTTGATCATAAATAAAATACTACTCATAGAAATCTCGTTTTCTCTTTGTAGTAAATACAAATGAAATGACACCCAACTCCTCTCTCAAAATGTAACATTGGGATCGCTTGGAGATTGATCAAACAAAATGAGACAAAAAGAAGGAAATTGAAAATCTACTAACTGGATGATAATTGTTAGGAAGATGGATTGAAATATTTGAAGAAAATTAAAGACAAAATGAGTTGAAAAATAAAATAATGTTTTCAAGATGAACGCGTTTGAATTCAGTAAGATTGAGCAAAAACCAATTGTTGGTTACCGCTGATTATGATCGACGACTTCGGGATTACATTATTGGTTGCCGTTGACCAGGAACGACTTAGGGGTGGTACTGCTTGGACTGATCTTCCAGCCCATTCCGGGGGCTAACTGAGTGTTATAGTAAAATTTTAATTTAATTGCACCTGAATGTACGGTATGGTGGAAAGAATAACGGCTCGGAATGCGAAATCGAAGAGCCGAGATCGAATTCAAGACAGTTTCAGTACATTGACTTATGCGCAAATACCCTTGCGAAAGATATGAATTAATTTTTTTTCTCCCCCCCCCCCCAAGCTATGGATTGAATAGCAGGACAGACTGGGTCCTATAAGTTTTGTTTGGCAACCAGTCTATCACAGAAGGAAATGCAGCCTACTACGAGAAAATTATCTGCCAATTCATTCATCAATCGAAAGAGACATAATCGCCCAAGCGTGTATCACGTAATACTTAATCAAGAAGAAAGCTGGACATTAATAACAGAATGAAAAAAAAATGTAACAAAAAAATAAAATCTTTTTTTCTTTTTTTTTTTTCTTTTTTTTTTTTTTTTCTTCTTTTTTTTTTCTTTTTTTTCTTCTTTTTTTTTTTTTCTTTTTTTTTTTTTTTTTTTTTTTTTTTTTTTTTCTTCTTTTTTTTTTCTTTTTTTTTTTTTTTTTTTTTTTTTTTTTTTTTTTTCTTTTTTTTTTTTTTTTCTTTTTTTCTTCCTTTTTTTCTTTTTTCTTCCTTTTTTCTTTTTTTTTCTTCCTTTTTTTTTTTTTTTCTTTTTCTTTTTTCTTCTTTTTTTTTCTTTTTTTTCTTTTTTTCTTCTTTTTCTTTTTTTTTTCTTTTTTTTTTTTTTTTTCTTTTTTTTTTTTTTTTTTTTTTTTTTTTTTTTTTCTTTTTTTTTTTTTTTTTTTTTTTTTTTTTTTTCTTTTTCTTTTTTTTTTTTTTTTTTTCTTTTTTTTTTTTTTTTTTTTTTTTTTTTTTTTTTTTTTTTTTTTTTTTTTTCTTTTTCTTTTCTTTTCTTCTTTTTTTTTCTTTTTTTTTTCTTTTTTTTTTTTTTTTTCTTTTTTCTGTTTTCTCTAAGCTAGTCTTTATGTAATAATACATGGTCGAAGATCTACTCAAGGTAGAGCGTTACTATGTGGTATTGTATAAGAAGTGATGTTCATGGAGAAAAAGGTAGCGTTAAACCCTAGACAGGTCAAGATTGTAGTGATTGGGAAAACTTTCTTTCGCGGGGGGGATGGTCTGCCCCCTGAATAATCAGCAGTTTCTGGGAAGTTGTCCGAGTGGAACTTCTCTATATTGGAATACGAAGGGAATGGGGATGATTCACACTTGTGTACGTGGCATGGCGGATCCTACTTGTAAAGGTCGGGGAGATGAAGGAATGTAGCTCGTCAGAAGACATGCCATGGAAACAGTAGAGTAGCGAGAGACTCGGGGCGTTTCGTCTGTGAGAAAGGTTGTCGGGTGGTAAATAATTCATTGCTCACAAGTGCGTTGAGACGCTTTTGAACTAGATAAGAGCTGCCCAGTTCCCGCCTTTATTGATAATAGTGAAGTGAGAATTGAACAGCTCCAGTAAAGATATGGCAGCAACATTCCATTTTTCTTAAGATAGAATATAGCAGGGCCGGGGTCAGATACCGACTGGAGTGTTAAAATGTCCAGTTTTCAAGCATTTTTACTTCTAAAGTAAAACGTAGAAGATTCCATTTACATGTCGACCCTTCCAACAAAAACTACAACTCCTCTTTGTGCGTGTGCCTGCGTTGGTATGTGTGTGTTTGTCTGTCTGTCGCTCTCTCTCTCTGCCCGTATTTGTCTGTCTCTGTCTCTCTCTCTCTCTGCCCGTATTTGTCTGTCTCTCTCTCTCTCTCTACCCGTGTTGGTTTGTGTGTGTGTGTGTGTCTCTCTCTCTCTACCCGTGTTGGTTTGTGTGTGTCTCTCTCTCACTCTCTCTCTACCCGTGTTGGTTTGTGTGTGTCTCTCTCTCTCTCTCTCTCTCTACCCGTGTTGGTTTGTCTCTCTCTCTCTCTACCCGTGTTGGTTTGTCTCTCTCTCTCTACCCGTGTTGGTTTGTCTCTCTCTCTCTCTACCCGTGTTGGTTTGTCTCTCTCTCTCTCTACCCCCGTGTTGGTTTGTCTCTCTCTCTCTCTCTCCCGTGTTGGTTTGTCTCTCTCTCTCTCTACCCCGTGTTGGTTTGTCTCTCTCTCTCTCTCTCTCTACCCGTGTTGGTTTGTCTCTCTCTCTCTCTCTCTACCCGTGTTGGTTTGTCTCTCTCTCTCTCTCTCTCTACCCGTGTTGGTTTGTCTCTCTCTCTCCCGTGTTGGTTTGTCTCTCTCTCTCCCCGTGTTGGTTTGTCTCTCTCTCTCTACTCGTGTTGGTTTCTCTCTCTCTATCTCTCTACCCGTGTTGGTTTGTCTCTCTCTCTCTCTCTCTCTCCCCGTGTTGGTTTGTCTCTCTCTCTCTCTCTCTCTACCCGTGTTGGTTTGTCTCTCTCTATCTCTACCCGTGTTGGTTTGTGTCTCTCTCTATCTCTACCCGTGTTGGTTTGTGTCTCTCTATCTCTACCCGTGTTGGTTTGTGTCTCTCTCTCTCTACCCGTGTTGGTTTGTGTCTCTCTCTCTGTTGGTTTGGTTTCTCTCTCTCTCTCTCTACCCGTGTTGGTTTGTGTCTCTCTCTCTCTATCTCTACCCGTGTTGGTTTCTCTCTCTCTCTCTATCTCTACCCGTGTTGGTTTGTCTCTCTCTCTCTCTCTACCCGTGTTGGTTTGTGTCTCTCTCTCTCTCTATCTCTACCCGTGTTGGTTTGTCTCTCTCTCTCTCTATCTCTACCCGTGTTGGTTTGTCTCTCTCTCTCTCTCTCTATCTCTACCCGTGTTGGTTTGTGTCTCTCTCTCTCTCTATCTCTACCCGTGTTGGTTTGTGTCTCTCTCTCTCTCTATCTCTACCCGTGTTGGTTTGTGTCTCTCTCTCTCTCTATCTCTACCCGTGTTGGTTTCTCTCTCTCTCTATCTCTACCCGTGTTGGTTTCTCTCTCTCTCTCTGTTGGTTTCTCTCTCTCTCTCTCTCTCTCTCTACCCGTGTTGGTTTCTCTCTCTCTCTCTCTCTCTACCCGTGTTGGTTTCTCTCTCTCTCTCTCTCTACCCGTCTTGGTTTCTCTCTCTCTCTCTCTCCGTGTTGGTTTCTCTCTCTCTCTCTCTCTCTCTACCCGTGTTGGTTCTCTCTCTCTCTCTCTCTCTCTACCCGTGTTGGTTTCTCTCTCTCTCTCTCTCTACCCGTGTTGGTTTCTCTCTCTCTCTCTCTCTCTCTACCCGTGTTGGTTTCTCTCTCTCTCTCTCTACCCGTTGGTTTCTCTCTCTCTCTCTCTCTACCCGTGTTGGTTTCTCTCTCTCTCTCTCTCCCCCGTGTTGGTTTCTCTCTCTCTCTCTCTCTACCCGTGTTGGTTTCTCTCTCTCTCTCTCTACCCGTGTTGGTTTCTCTCTCTCTCTCTCTCTCTACCCGTGTTGGTTTTTCTCTCTCTCTCTCTCTCTACCCGTGTTGGTTTCTCTCTATATATATATATATATTTCTGACCGTGTTTGTCTGTAGGTCTGTCTCTCTCTCTCCCTCTGCCCGTGATGGTCTGTCTCTCTCTCTCTCCCTCTGCCCGTGATGGTCTGTCTCTCTCTCTCTCCCTCTGCCCGTGATGGTCTGTCTCTCTCTCCCTCTGCCCGTGTTGGTCTGTCTCTCCCTCTGCCCGTGTTGGTCTGTTGGTCTGTCTCTCCCTCTGCTCGTGTTGGTCTGTCTCTCCCTCTGCTCGTGTTGGTCTGTTGGTCTGTCTCTCTCTCTCTCTCCCTCTGCCCGTGTTGGTCTGTCTCTCTCTCTCTCTCTCCCTCTGCCCGTGTTGGTCTGTCTGTCCCTCTGTCTCTCTCTCTCCCTCTGTCCGTGTTGGTCTGTCTGTCTCCTCTCTCTCTCTCTGCCCGTGTTGGTCTCTCTCTCCCCTCTGCCCGTGTTGGTCTCTCTCTCTTCCTCTGCCCGTGTTGGTCTCTCTCTCTCCCTCTTCCCGTGTCGGTCTCTCTCTCTCCCTCTTCCCGTGTCGGTCTCTCTCTCTCTCCTCTGCCCGTGTCGGTCTCTCTCTCTCCCCTCTGCCCGTGTCGGTCTCTCTCTCTCCCTCTGCCCGTGTCAGTCTCTCTCTCTCCCCTGTCGGTCTCTCTCTCTCTCCCTGTGTCGGTTTCTCTCTCTCCCTGTGTCGGTTTCTCTCTCTCCCTGTGTCGGTTTCTCTCCCTCTGCCCGTGTTGGTCTCTCTCTCTCCCTGTGTTGGTCTCTCTCTCTCCCTCTGCCCGTGTTGGTCTCTCTCTCCCCTCTGCCCGTGTTGGTCTCTCTCTCTCCCTCTGCCCGTGTTGGTCTGTCTCTCTCTCTCCCTCTGCCCGTGTTGGTCTGTCTCTCTCTCTCCCTCTGCCCGTGTTGGTCTGTCTCTCTCTCTTCCTCTGCCCGTGTTGGTCTGTCTGTCTCTCTCTCTCTCTCCCTCTCTCCCTCTGCCCGTGTTGGTCTGTCTCTCTCTCTTCCTCTGCCCGTGTTGCTCTGTCTGTCTGTCTGTCTCTCTCTCTCCCTCTGCCCGTGTTGCTCTGTCTGTCTGTCTGTCTCTCTCTCTCTCTCCCTCTGCCCGTGTTGCTCTGTCTCTGTCTGTCTCTCTCTCTCCCTCTGCCCGTGTTGCTCTGTCTCTCTGTCTCTCTCTCCCTCTGCCCGTGTTGCTCTGTCTGTCTGTCTCTCTCTCCCTCTGCCCGTGTTGCTCTGTCTGTCTGTCTCTCTCTCCCTCTGCCCGTGTTGCTCTGTCTGTCTGTCTCTCTCTTGCTCTGTCTGTCTCTCTCTCCCTCTGCCCGTGTTGCTCTGTCTGTCTGTCTCTCTCCCTCTGCCCGTGTTGCTCTGTCTGTCTCTCTCTCTCTCTCTCTCTCTCTCTCTGCCCGTGTTGCTCTCTGTCTTTCTGTCTCTGCCCCTGTTGTTCTCTTTTGGTTTTTACGAAAAACATAGCTTCTCTTACTTCTGACCAAGTGAATTGAATTCCGCTGAGAGACAAAAAATAAAAGCAAAGCATGTTTAAAAGATAAACGTGCCGTACTAAATTGGTCCCAGCCCGGTTGTTGTTTGGGGGGTGGATACCTGCCGGCGCTTTTATTTGGTACATAAAACTAGAGAGATCAGAACATCCAGTTACATATCTGGGTCAATGTCCAAAAAAATCCTTCACTGCACTTATCAGAATACACTTTATCTTTCATGTACCCTTTCCTTTCCTTGTAGCCGATCAAGAATCTCCACAACTTCCTATATCCTTTATATACTTGTTCGCTTAGGGTTTACTCTCCTTCGCAGTCCCTTTTCTGTCATCCATTTACATAAGCTCGATTGTGGTTACTTTAGGTTTCCCACCAACCCCGTCGTTTTCAATATCCTGTGAGTGTCAAGTCTTTAGTAAATGTTAAACACTTTAAATATCGCGGTGTATGCATCAGGTGCATTGGACATAGAAATAAGCTGCGCTAAAGATTGTTTCGCCTTACACCGCAAATTGCTACAAAATAAAAGCATTAACCTGTAAACTGGAGTCATTTTCTGAAATTGCTTTCTCAGATCGAAAATTTCATGTAGATGTTCTACATGGTGCCAAACCTGTTCAGAAATATTTAAACTGCCAGCTGTATACATCTGCTTTCTCAAATCAATGACTAAAAATGGCTCCAGACGAGTGAAACCTGTGTCTCTTGGCGAAGACAACAATTCTTCGAACTCTGTGAACTCTCGCTATAGAATCACAAAAAACTGTACCAAATTGCAGTAACCACATCACTTGAGAACCTTCAGCAACAGATAAAACGGACAAAAAACGAAGAGAAAATCACAATATAATCAAGATTTTGATATTCCACTCTACAAATAAAGGGTTAGTGTTGTAACTTAGGAAAAGTTACTGAATAGAATAACCAAACGAAGGTTGGTAATGAATGATAATACTCAGGACAAGAACAACACATAAGATTCACCAGCGGCGCGTAGAAGTTTGTCAACTGCTAGAAGTGAGTCAAGTGAATTCCACAATGACTCTCCAACTGCAGAATATCTACCAACCGCCCCACGTCGTCAGATGTGGCATAGGCCGAATTTAATGTGGGGTATACGAGCCCATAGACTCGGCCAAAAATTTCCCGTAGACCCCATATAAAACATAATCGGTTAGCTGTTTCCCGAGACGAGACTCGACCCTTCGACATAGCCTCGTCTAGGGACCCTCTCTGCCCGGAGGCAGTTTGACCAGCACAGCTAGAGAATCTCCAACTCTAGACCAACATACAATATTTACTACTGTATTTATGTGAATGGGAGCATACCCATTCTCGCTCGTAGGTATGCTAGGACAGTTAGAAAGAGCCCATACTGGAAAGAGCGATAAAAGCTACTGGACTTGAGACCTATATTCCTGATAGTTATTTTACTAAGAAAGATCTTATAAATTTCAACCGACAGTATTACAAGCTGTCCGGTCAATGAATGCTGAATGTTTCCTTATAATGAAACGCTAATATTAGCATTACTCATTGCTTGGTCTAATGGGGAGTTTTAAAGGTGTTGCCCGATTCTCCTTGCAACAGAGTGTGGTGAGCATCTGAAAGTTTCTACGGGGATGGCAAATTTTTTTTCAGAACTGATTATATACACAACGCAGTGTTCGTAGAATATGTACTAAGCAAATCCACGATTTACTTGGCTAACAGTCAACCAAACATAGCCATACGAAAGGAGTTCTATGATTTAATGTCTGTATTTGTTTACGGCAGATTATGGAAAATGTTCCGATAAACAAAGAACAAAAATAAAACTTGACTGAATAATATAAACCAAAGCCTATTTAACAGTGGATTGCATTTTTATGTAGCTAATCAATACGAAGCTTTTAAAGGCCCGTATAAATCGGAAATGGACTCTGTTTTAAGCAAAGTAATATTGTCTCCGCAATCTGCCCGATAGTTGTTTCTTTCTCTCGAGCTCACAGCGCGCATGCGTCTATTAGATTTCCATCAAAGGACTTAAATTTAGAATGTAAATTAATTCCTGATCGATGCGGCTTCGTTGCGAAACATCTAAAGGTTTTGGATTTCAAGATTACAGGCAAAACTAATTGCGAGTTTTAATTGTCTGTTTACGGAACAACGAAGATGACGTTAGCCAGGAACAGGTTACCATATTCACGTATAGAAACAGAAATATATTTTGATATAGCGTACTGTGCAATACGAATGACGTCAGGACAGTCATTCTCCGCCCCCAGTGGTTCTTTCCTTCCTCTGCTATTTCTTTACGTCTATCTACTCATCCATTCGAATTAAAAGAAAACCTTATGTCCAATTTATCACTTGGGTATTACGTTGTGTTATAATTTATTCTTCCCTGCTAAATAAGGGAGATTAACTGTTACAAAGAAGTATTATAGCTAATCAATAAGTTTAGTTTAGTACAACCACACAGTAGTGGAGTACCCAGTTAGGATTAATCGTGATGTTGACATGACTAGCTGGCAACGGTTTTCAGAAAATAACTGCATTTTTTCTTTTCTTTTTCTTTTCTTTTTTTCTTTTCTTTTTTTCTTTTCTTTATTTCTTTTCTTTTTCTCTTTTCTTCTTTTCTCTTTTCTTTTTTTCTCTTTTCTCTTTTTTTTTCTCTTTTCTTTTTTCTTTTTTTTTTTTTTTTCTTTTTTCTTTTTTTTTCTTTTTTTTTTTTCTTTTTTTTTTTTTCTTTTTCTTTTTTTCTCTTTTCTTTTTCTCTTTTCTTTTTTTTTTTTTTTTTTTCTTTTTTTTTTTCTTTTTTTTTTCTTTTTTTTTTTTTTTTTTTTTCTCTTTTTTCTTTTTTCTTTTTCTCTTTTCTTTTTCTCTTTTTTCTTTTTCTTTTCCTTTTCCTTTTTTTTTTTTCTTTTTTCTTTTTTCTCTTTTTCTTTTTTCTCTTCTTTTTTCTTTTATCTTTTTTTCCTTTTTTCTCTTTTCTTTTTTCCTTTTTACTTTTTTCTCTTTTTTCTCTTCCTTTTTCTTTTTCTCTTTTCTTTTTTCTTTTTTTTTTTTTTTTTTTTTTTTTCTCTTCTTTTTTCTCTTTTTTTTTTTTTTTTTTCTTTTTTTCTTTTTTTCTTTTTCTTTTTCTTTTTTCTTTTTTTTCTTTTCCTTTCTTTTATCGTTTCACTCCAACCAAGGCAATAATGTCACTAAGATGCAGAGCTTTACAGGAAATGAAAGAATGAGAAGACAGTGAATAGGGAGGATTGTAGGGAAGACTTAAAGCTTGCCGGAAGACAATAAGCATTCGGAAGAAGACGAGGACCTGCTGTGGAAACACTAAGAAAGGACTTGGAAATTTCCAGCCCAAAGACTGTGGTTGACTGGAATCAGTTATGCCATAATGTGTGCGTTGAGTATTTCATCAACGACCACCAAAGTGATAAAGAAAAACAGGAAATAGTTTAAAAATGCGTGTTTTGATGTTGTGAACATGGTGCACAGGTGATAAGGAACAGAAAAAAAACTAATCAGAGAAATAAAATAGTCACGGGAAAAAAAAAACCTGACGGAGGGGGTGAGACAGTGCAATAGTGATTTTACTTATGAGGAAAGCAAAAAAAAGTCTGAAGTGCGAGAGAAAAAAAAACAAGATGGCGATTGCATCTAGCTAGTTCAACAATAAAACGGTGAGACCTAGCTGCCAATCTAGTAGAACGCTTCATGTAGTCGGGGTACCAGGGGGAAAGCTCATCAGAGCAGTAGCCATGAAAATATTTGTAGAAAAGACAGAGGGAAGCCACATCACGTTGGTAAGAAAGTGACTGAAGTCGGAAATGCATAATCAGGATTGATTATATTACATATCTTTCTTGGGATTTTGTTAAGAATCTCGAGATGTACACCAGGAGCACCAGACCAGATATTACAACAGTATCTAATTAACAGACGAATGGTAGATTTCTAAATGTGCAAGATAGATTATGACCAGAAAAATATTTCTGGTGCAACACCATGAACCAACTTTCCTTCCAGTAGACAGTGATTCAATATAGCCACTCCAATTCATGTGAATGAAAACGTGTGGCCCAAAAGGCGTAGAGTGTTGTTCTCCTGGTGTTTATCATCAGCGATGCTGATGGCAGACAGAAAAGTTTCGCTATGGGGATTAAATGAAGATAGTTCAATTTTGGAGGCGTTAAAATTTATAAGACATGTCTTGCCCCAGTTAACCATTGATTGGAAGTTCTTTTCAAGCGCAGTTGCCAGGTTTATTTTATCTGGTCTGTTGGATTTTCTATTAAGGCAGGTGAAAATGATTGTCATCTGCATAAATGCCTATTTGGGAACTGATGACATCGGCGAGATCGTTGACGAAGATCAGAAAGATAGTCCTGCGTTAGTATGAAATGATTTGGAAGCGTGCCCATTCAGCACAACCGTCATGACACAATTTGTTAAAAAAAAAAATGGCTATCCACTCATATCCATGGATGCCTGTATACTAGGGCAGTTAGCCAATCTCTGTTGCAGACGACTGCCCAGACAAATTTGTTTGTTCTATCACTCACATGGCCCAATTTTAGTTTATACTGCATCTATGATGAGTGGACTTTACTTAGAGTTTCTGGAAGATAGCGCGTTATCAACACTTTGAACAAGGCTAGCACACTCAATGATGCACAATGACTTGTGACTTCATACTAGCACAACCATGGACAGCTCTCAAATAGTTCCGTTTACCCAATTTCACTAACACGCCTTGGGTCTTCATTCCAAGCGGGGTTACTGTGTGTGAAAGAATTACAAAACAAACATTATTAGGGACCCAGAACAATAGAAGAGTGGATAGTGGTTGACATTGCATTTAAATTTTGGAAGATCAAAGTTAACTGGAAAGTGTGGAGCTGGAAGAAAGTTACACGTGCGAGAAAATAAACTCTCAGCGTAGAAATTACGGGTAGAACTAGCCAATTCAACTATAAATTAATGAGA